TTTCAGCCTTGTAAGCATGTAATAATAAAACAGATCACACAAATTAAAGTAGATTGCAGAAATATAAAAACAAATCTGTTGCTTTACCACACTCAGTATTTAGGTAATTCAAAGTCACTGTAATAAACATATAGGCTTATGTAAACATGTGGGTTGCACTTTTTAAACACTGTCTGTTAACTTTGGACAGACTTTAAATAAATAAATAAGAATATATATATTACCTTATTATATATATTATCTTAAGGTCGAATTCTTCAGTAATGAAATGCACCGTAACACTGTTACTCCGCGTGTAGTGTGCCAGGGTTGCCAGGTTTTTACAGCAAAACCCTCTCAATTGCTACTCAAAACTAGGTGTTTCGAGGGGGGTCCACTGGTAAAAATTCCAGGGGGTAAAATACATGTTTTTTTGGAGGGGTTCCCCTGGTAAGATTCGCACTCCAGGGGCTAAATATAACGCTTTTGGAGGCAAACCGCGGACTTGGCAGCACTGTAGCGTGCCAACTTGATGCTTCCTCTGAAGACTGCTTAGATGTGTTCGACTTGAAGCAGTGCTGCTTAGACGGTGTGTGTCATCAAAGTACTGCGAGAGCTATACGAGAGTGGATGTCTCCTTATGCTTTCTCTCACCGTACTTTGATGTCATACACCGATCATTCTTCAAGTCAAACACACCTCTTTACTCTCGCGTGTCACATGACAGTGTAATCGCTGCCTCTGCGGTTGAAAAATCGCATTTTTTCATATCGCGATATTATCGCAAATGCAATTAATCGTTCAGCCCTAATCGATACCTAGAAACTACACATTTTTATGAGTATTATGGTGACTCTTTTAAAACAAAGAAAAGATATGGCCTAAAATAAGAAATAATTACTAATGTAAACAAAAAAAAAATGTCTTCACACTCAAATGAAATGTTTGTTGTTTCTTTGAAAGAGTTTGTGTAAGAAAAGAATCGTTTTTGTGCCTCATGACCCTCAGGAGCCCACAGCCCGGCACGGAACGATCCTCCGAGGCCGTGCCAGAGCCCTGAAACACGATGCCACAGAGCGGCACAGACTTAGTCGCACACACATAGAGGTGCGTGTCTGTGAAAGAGGTCAAGGTGAGGGGGGCTAGAGTTACGGCTGATGTGGGGGAGTCCGACTGAGTCAGTTTACAGCCGGGATCGATTCTGATAAACCTCACAGAGTCACTGGACCTAAGGGCAGAATCAGAGCCAATGCATACCAGTCATTAACGAGAACCCGCAGGCGAACTGAGCGTGGCACCGCAGCCTGGACCTGCCAGTGGGTGGGCGGTTGACAGGAGTCAGATGGTCATCTCAGTGGGTAGAAATACATGGTTGTGTAAATGAGCCTCTTTGTAATTTTCCTGGAAATCAACTTTAACTAGAATCCACTCATAAACAGTATTTATTGCAAATTGCGGCATGCTCGCTGCCTGTATGGTGAAACACTGCTTTTATTGACTACAGGACCATTCACAAGAAAATTGCTGGCAAAACGGTAGGAGCCAACTAATCTTTCAGGACACTTTTGTAAGTTTTTTTTAGCCATCACCTCCCAGAAGGTATTTGAGGCTTCACTTTGTGTGTGTTTTAGTTTAATAGTGTTGACAGAAGCAACACAGTTCAAGCAGGAAATGTTTCCCTCTATGTCTGACGTTGGTTTTTCTTCGTCCCTTCCTCATGTATGTCATTTAAGGGATAGTTCACCCAAAAATTAAAATTCTGTCATTACCCTCATGTCGTTCCAGTCCTGTATGACTGACTTTCTTTTGTGGAACTCAAACATATTTTGAAAATCTTTTTTTGTCTATACAGTGAAAGTGAATGGAGAATGAAAAGTCATACAGGTTTGACATGAGAATGACTGAATTTTTATTGTAATATTCAGGCTCAAGTACATGCATGTCAGGTAGAACAGAGAGGAAACTAAAGCTGACATTAGATCTGTTCGCAGGGAAGGACAGTGGATTTACTGTCCAGTGGGTGTGAAGGGTCTGAGTGCTGGCTGCGGGACAGAGTTTGTCCAGAGGGGCTGGGTGGGGCAGAACTGGGTTGGTATTGCATGTAGACGGATTGAGCACAAAAGTGCTCCATGTCTTTGTCAGTTCTAAGAACAGCCCTTATTTCGAATTTTATGATCTGCATGCAGCAGTCAAGTGCCCGGGACTGCTAAGTGTTTGTGTGTTTGAATTCACTGCCAAGTACTACAGAAGAGGTGCTGTTACTAAGTGCACTTGTTCATAGAAGTATGTTTGTTGGTTTATGACCTAGTAACTAAGTGTTAGCCAAATTGCAAAATTCAAATGCAAAAATGGTTTATAAAGAAACTAAATAATGTTAAATTTTTGGTAATGTAGTGTTGAAAAATGGTAAAGTTCCAGTGAAACGGAAGTAGCGACATATCTTTTATTCTGCATTGTGACATGCATTGACCTTTCACAAAAACTGCCCTCCTGTCGGCGCCGATAGCCTTGCTGTTGTGCTACAGGCGTCCCGAGTTCGAATCCTGACTCAAAGGACCTTTCCCAATCCTGCCCCCTATCTCTCTCCCACTTCGCTTCCTGTCAGTTCTGATCTGTCCTATTCTAATTAATGCAAAAATGCCAAAAAATAGATCTTTAAAAAACTGCCCTCCTTAGTTACTGTTGCTGTGTCCGACAAGCCATGCCGCTGTCACACTACACATCATGTTCTCACGCAGTGAAAAATACATTGCGGAGCAAAGGGGAAACTGACAATATGCCGACAGTCAAGACAGAGCAGATTTCTTCTGGTATGAAACTTTCAGCTTTCAAATTTTGTCATTTTGTAAGAAATTCAAACAATAAATACCGTTATGTGGCTCTTTAATGTGTCGTGACAGATCACTGTTGCGCCTCAGTTCAAGCAGCACGTGAACCGATCGTCTTTTCATATTTACTTAAAGCATGAAATAAACATGTATGAACATCAGAACATATTTTACTTCAATTGCGGAAAGATGTCAGTACACACAATTATTCAAGTTTAAGTCCACCGAAGTTAATCTATTCTCTCCTGTCTGATTTGTTTGTCAGGCAAGATGGCGGATTCAGTGTTATGACTGGTCAGATCGCCTGTCAGTCAAGCTCTTTGTCAAGGGTCAATTAAGATTGTAGAAGTCCCACATAATGTACGTCATCAGAGACATACATTAGTCTGCTGTTGCACCGGAAGATCCAGAAAAATTAAACAGAGACTAAATATTATGGTATGTGTTTGTTTTTAGCGTGATTCTGTGCAGTTTCTAGGGTGTTCTGGCTGTTTTTAGCACATTCCTGTGCAGTTGCTTGGGTGTTCTGGGTTGTCATTAGTGCATTGCTAAATGGTTGCTAGGTTGTTGTGAGTTTCTAGGTTGTTCTGCTGTGTGATTGCTAGGGTGTTATGTTATGTCTGTGTTTTAGCACTGTGCAGTAAAGTGAAAATTACTGAAATTACTGAAATTGTAAGTCCACATATGAAATAGCACCCTTCTTTCTGATAAGCTGTGTGGTTTAAGATATCAAATAGTGGAGGCCTAGTTTAATACCTAAGGGTTTGTTCAAATACGTAACCCTAAGCGTGAGCAATAATGGTGATGCTTGGCTTGTCTAGCTTAATTTAAGAACAATAAAGGACAATGAGAAAATTCCAAATTCAGACTGCTAGGTGATTGTGTGATTGTGCATGTGGTAGTTTCAGAACATGACTCTGTATCATGTAGCAAATAGGAAGTGTGGTCAGTTTGGTACCGTTCCGGTTTACAGCTGCAGAACCCATGGGGTTTTCTTTAACCAAGGGAGACTTTTAGAATCCAGTAAATGTCCTTATGACTCACAGCATGGATTAGGTATTTGTACAGTTGTTTGACAATTACCATACAAATTACATGACTTAACTCATCATTAGTTGACAATTATGAACGATGAAACACCATACAGTTGGCTAACTGCCATTATGACCAATTGCTACATTTTCTTTTGGTTAGCCACGTTGAGCCACATCGAAGGCTTTCCAGGTTATTCCGGTTGACCTTTCCTGGACCCCTGCTGCAGTCCAGAGCTCTTTTCTCCTTCCGTCTTCCCCTCTTTAATATGAGCTCTGAGATGGGGAAGGGGAAGCCAGGCCTGAGGAATGCACTAAAGAATTCGGACATCCCTCGAACCGTAGCCCGCCATGCTGTCAATCATCTGCGCAGGCGTCAACGGCCAAAACATCTCAGACAGCTCGTTTTTGAGGCCACTGTTAGGACATTGTGCAACAGTGGAGTTGAATGTATGGTTACTTTGAAGGTTTTCACCCATATACTGGCATTAAATTTTTGGTATAATGCCAAGCCATAATTATTTATAATGACTCATAATTAAAAATTAAAGACCAGCTGTTTCATGACCAACCTATTTTTTTCCACCTGGAATGTTAACAGAATATGGCTTTTTGTTCATTTAATGTTTAAGGGAAACACATATGACACTAAAATTATGCAAAAATATGAACTAATGTACTGTATATAGAAAATGTAATACAAAACACCCTGATGTGCATTACTGATGGCACAAATGAAGAGACTAACTTGTGTCACTCACACTATATTATACAGTAATTCTTAGTTTTTACTTGCAAAAACCATACATTTGACAGCATTCTACAACAGTGTTATATACAGTGTGATGCTAAACCATTTACAGTTTTTCCACCATATATGGTAATGTAACTTACAGCTAACCAATTAACAGGCGTTTACTGTAGAAGCATTTTTTACAGTTGGTATCGACCACTGAAATTGTGGTATCATGGCAACCCGAAACTAAAGTACTAAATAGAACCATATGTGTGTTGAACATATCGAAACAAAGGAAGTGAAAGAGACTGAATGTTCTTCATGTACTGCACATCCTTCGAGAATATCTAGCAGAGTTTACTGGAAGGGAAGTGAGAGATCAATACCTGCCAGATGCCCATGTGTTCTGTCCTTTCTCTTTTACAGGGGCAACTAGAGGTCACTCTGTCTCAGCCCACTTGCACAGCCAACGGCACACCCTGGTGAGTTCAGCCATTAATTATGTTTAATAGGGTGTGTGTGTGTGTGTGTGTGTGTGTGTGTGTACCTGTCCTACATCTCCCTCACAACCTGGACAGATAGATTTGTCAGTGCATACAGTACATATCCTTACAAAAAAGTACTGTGTCGGTACAGGGATTGTATCAGATGGTAATACCATCTCATTTTGATATAAATAGCATACAGTTCTAGTTCTTATGCTCGCCAAGGCTACATATATTTGATCAAAAATGCAGTAAATCATTAATATTGTGAAATATTATTACATATATAATATAAAATATTAAATAAAGTATTTTATTATTTTAAATAAGTGTTTTCTGTTTAAACATATTTACAAATATAATATACTTCAGTTTTGAAAAATGCCTTTACTCCAGCCTTAAGTGTCACATGATTCTTCAGAAATCATTCTAATATGCTGATTAGTGCACAACAGACATTTCTTAGTATTGTAAATTTTGAAAACAGTTGTGCTGCTTCATATTCTTGTGGAAACCGTGTTACATGCTTTTTCAGGATTCTTTGATGAATAAAAAGTTGAAAAGAACAGCATTTTTTGAAATGTACAAACTTGTTATACAGCCACTTGTAAGATAATGGTATGTGAGCTAGCCTGACTACTGTATGTCAGCTTTGGGTGTGTCACAGCACAAAGAATCAAGCACACTCACAAAATGTTTTACCATTAATCATCAAAAACTCAGTGCAAATGAGCGATAATTTTATTATATTATCAAGATTGTGAATCCTTGAATCTAGAGGAAGTGTGTGTGTGTTATAGCAGGTTGAGATTTGCAGGAAACCTTCAGCCAGATGGTGACTCAGTCTTTTTTATCGCATGTAGAGGTCGCTCAGTCTCATCACGGATTAGACACACACGTGCTGTCATCCTCGGCTGCCTGGATGTGGAATGTCTGGGCAGTATTCTTGAGTAAACTGTATTATTTTTAGCAGAGGTCAGAAATACTCACTCCATCATACTGTCCTCAGTCACCATATCTGAAAGAAAGCATTGTCTTTGTATCTGTCGCTCTTGGTTTATTTCCTCCTGTCTTTTTTTTAAATCTCAAACAAAAGAGCATTTTGCTCATTTTTGGCTTTCTCCTGTTGCCAGCTGTTCTGCACTGTCAGTCCATTAATGGGTCAACCTGACAGGTCACAACTTGGTGCTAATGTGTTTCCCACGTTTTAACAGCTGAGCACTTGGACTTTCATGGTTAAAGTCTGTTGTTTTTGACTGAAATATTTTTTAACCTATTTTTTAAAGGGGTCATGAACTGAAAAACTAGGCCTGGGCGATTAAAACGGTATTGATATTTATCGACGGTACACCTTCTTCGATAACGATAGAAAAAATGTTCGATATATAGTGCACGATATAGGCACGTGCTATGAGTGATGCAGACAGCACACACAAACACGAACACATGCTGAATTGAGTGCTGTGCCTGCCTGTGATGAGGATATTGTGAATAAAAAAAAATGAATATAAGTCGAACTTAAAATAAACATTGGCATTTGAATGCAAAAATAGTACAATCGAATGTTAGGTGTGCGTCAGGGAGTGTCATCAGTGGCGCGCGAGATGGGGTGATGATAATGTAAATGACGTTGTGTTTTGATGTAAGTGACATTTTAATGTTTTGTTAGTCTAGCCCAGGAGACACGCCGCTGCTGCGTTATTCATTCAAAATATTAGAGAAATATAGTAGCTCAATGCGTAGAAAATGTTGATTAGGTTAAAACCGAAACCAAGCCATTCACACAGAACGCAAATTCAGTGCATTTTTAGACAGATAAATATAACTGCTGTACTCGTGTCCGACCATGCAAAGTTAAAACAGTTTACACTTTTAGAAAACACGTCACGAATTTGTGGAGGTTTATTCCTTTTCACTGCGTCTCATATGTTTTTAAAGGCAATCTGTGTGAATGGCGCTTCGGCTCTTTGTATTAAGCAAATACATGATGCTGTTCTGTACATAATTGTTTATGCAATTTACGAAATTATATTTGATTTATAAGAGATAATTTATACGTAATGCACGTTTTTTTATAGACCGTTATTTCTTGCGTTGACAATTTAATTATTTTGCTAATTGAATTGAATTTAATGCGTTGCATTATTTTGCTCATTGCGCCCTCCTGTGGCCTCGGGAAACAAGCCAAACGTTTCCTTAAAATCCACGTGAACCGGAAGTTGCTGCCGACTTTATTTCAGTGTAGTGATGTATTTCCTTCTGAAACGGAATATTGAATAGATGGCATGGTTTTATTTTGGCGCTCCTCCTCTCTGTCTCTCACTCATATCAAACTAACGGTTGGAGGGGTGTGTTTAAAAGGATATTCTGCCCAAGCCGTCAAACTGACATCATCAGAGAAGTACTGCCATTCCAGAGCGGAAGCAAATGTTCAGATTTTGATTAAAGATTACGAAGACAAACAATTTTTTTCAGCGGATTAACTTGCACGGATTAATTGTTAACATCAAGACTAGCAATGTGCGCTAGTAAAGTAAATAAAGTCAATTTTGATTTCATGCCGACTTTAAGACCTATTTAATTTGCATATAAAACATTAGAAATTATATATTTGTTTAATTTTTATTTTGTGTTTGACTGTTAAAACAACAAATATTTGTTGTTTGTCTCAATAAATCGGGTTAATTTAAAAATACAGTGGTTAAATGTAAAAATTTTTTCTATTGCTCTTTGTTTTAAAAAAGGTTATAAAAAATGTCAATAATTATCGATACTGAATGATATGAAACATTATATCGATGATTAATTTTTTAGCTATATCGCCCAGCCCTTTGAGAAAACAAAATTCCCTTGATCTTTTGACATATAAGAGGTCATTTTACTTACTATAAAACATCCTGTAAGTTTCAGAACTCAAATCTTTCTCTTTAGTCTAAAAACGGCTTATATTGAAGGCTGTCTGCCAAAACAATAGCTTGTGAAATGTACGACTCTATGATGTAATAATGTGGATAAGCACCGCCTCCGCAGAAGAAGATCAACGCCTCGACATCACTGCCTGTTTGGCCCCGCCCACCGGTTCATGCATGTGGTTTTTATGAGAGAGGCGAACGCGCAGGTCTACACAGAAACCAAACGATAAAGATGATCTGAAGACAACAAGATGCTGTGCAGTGCCAATTTGTGTAAAAACAGTCTTTGCATTGCCTTCCTTCTGATCCCAACGTTAGGAATTTTTAATAAATATCCAGACCGCGTCAGTAAGAACTCAAACAAGGCACAATTCGATGCGGGATTTTCAGAAAGATTAAAACTGAAAGACGATACAGTGCCGACTATATTGGATCTGACAGTAATGTCGCAACACACAAGTGTATGTAACTGTTTTCATTAGTGGTCACTATTGCTTTGTCTGTTATTACAGATCGTTTGATATGTACTGAGTATTGATGCGTTTTTAACCTAAATCACAGCAGCCCATCTGTGAAGGATGTAGGCTGTCAAACATACACAACTGTTGGCCAATCACAGCAGTGACGTTTACTTCGGAGTCTACAATCCGCCACACCTATTCAAACAGAGCATTCAGATGAGGGGGGTTAAAACAGGACAGAAAATAGATTGTTACTTCTAAATTATGATGTTTTTTTTAAGTGGACCTCAGAGGACAGTATAAAATAAAAAACAAAGTCAGTTCATGACCCCTTTAATAATGATTGTAAATCATTGTTTTGTAATTTTTACATTTTAATTTTCACATGAGTAAATTTAACCTTTTTTGGATGTTTGTGGCTTTGTGTGGTGAAATGTGACCGTGCATGTTG